TGATGATGAAGAGTCCGGCAAGGGGGGGGTGAGGGGGGTTTCAGAGGATTGTTTCGATATAGGGGGTGGAGATATTGGCTTTGAGAGGGTGGTCAGAGTGCCACTACCTTCTATTGCTTCGGCTGCTGGGATACCGATGGTTCTCGGGCTGACTTCAGTCATGTCATGGCTACTGCTTTTTTCTTCCAGTTCATCGGAAGACCTGGTAGAATGCCCTAAACCCAAGGCGACTGGTGACTCTCCCAACAAAATGTCTTCCGGACTCGACCTCCCATCCGAAACTTCCCCCAGCATGCCTGCCAGGTCCAGGTCCTCTAGCAACTTCAACGCACCCTGCAGCCTCTCCGGCTCTTTCAGACTCATCACGCCCAGGGTCAGATGGAGAGTCCCGAGGGGCCTGAACGCTGCTGGAGGAATCAACGGACCAGTTCGAGGCGGACGCTTCTCAGCGCCCGCACCGGCACCGGCACTGGCACTTGCGTCCTCTGTCACCGGTTGAAGACCTTCCGTAACAGATTTTAAGTGTGCAATCGACGCCTGCAGCTGAGGTATCGAGGTCGGGGTGAGAAGTGGTAGACAGAGGAAATGGGTCAATGGTGGCCTTGGCGGACGCTGGTTTCGCGCTGGCATTATCTTGGTAGATAGGCTGACTACGTTTCTGACGGGAGTTTGGATGCTATGGTTGAGCATGCCAGATTTCGTCGCCAGGATTGCAAGGTGAGATATATGGGCATTGTTTCTTTCTGCTCCTGCTCTGTAGTGAGTGTGATCCTTTAAAAGCTTGGTCAACGGAGACTGGCCGAGTCAGAGGAAATCCGGTAGATACATGAGCTCTCCATGATTTTGAGTGACCAGGGAGTTGAGCAAAGTTAGAGGCCAAGGTTGTGGTGAGGTGAATGGTACTACAGTAGACTGAGAAAGACATACGAATTGCCTATTTGGGACAGCAGAGCTCCAATACTCTCGCACGGACCACATGAAGCTCTCCCAGAGCTCCATGTAGCACAAAAGAGCGGCAGCTCACCACACCACACCATCAACTGACTTCACCATTCCACAACCTTCTACAGAGTACCAACAACCTCAACCAGCAGCAACACATCTCCTCCTCCCTCGCTCCCCGCCGCTCCCCAAGCCGCAGCAGCAGCAATGCTCTCACGCAGCGCTCGTTTCCTCCTGCTCCGCCCTTCCTCCTCTCTCCGCACCACCACCCCCTGCCCACGCCAGCCATGCCAGCAACTCTACAAGCTCACCCACCCCATCCCATCGCGACGACGACGCTTCCACATCCCGCCCCGAACCCTCAAGGGCCTACAACCGCACAGCGAAGACCCGGAGGCGGCATCCACGTGCGCGAACCGGCCAACATCAGCACAGCCGAGTACCACGAGATCGCGGACGCGTACATCGATGAGCTGGTGGCGGCGCTGGAGGAGAAGGCCGAGACGCCCGGTTCAGGCTACGATGTCGAGTTCAGCGTAAGTGCCCCCACTCCTCCTCCTCCTCCACCTCCACCCAAGGGCAAAGAGGGGACCCTCTCTTTCTTATTTTGGGCTGGTGGTATCACGCGCGAAACTAACTGACGAGGTGGGGGGTTTTTGCGGGGCGCCAGGCCGGCGTGTTGACGCTCAAGACGTCGCAGGGCACGTACGTGCTGAACAAGCAGCCGCCGAACCGGCAGATCTGGATCTCGTCGCCCATGTCCGGGCCGAAGCGCTATGACTGGGTGTGGATGCAGGGCGAGGGCCAGGATCAGAAGGAGGGCACCGGCATGGATGTCGAGGGCGATCTGCGCGGCGGCCAGTGGGTCTATCTCCGCGACGGCGCCACCTTGTCCGACCTGCTGAAGAAGGAGCTCGATGTGCAGATGAATCCGAGTGAGGATGTGGGAGGAGCGCCGTAGAATGGGAAACGCTTTACGGATTGGGGGGAGAAGGGAAAAGCGGACATGGGTCGATTCAAAAAAAAAAAGATAATTGAGTTAGGGAGCGGGCTAGATGATTGACTGACACCGCAACATATGGCCCCAGACGCCGCGCTATGCTGTCTCAAGCAGATAACTAAATCCTTCTTCTTCTTCTTCTCCTCCTTCCGTCTCCCTTCTCACACCCCGCTCAGCGTCTCGATCAGCAAGAGTGAACTAAACATCAACGAACTCATTTGACCTTGCCCATGATCGTCTCCATGCCCCTCTCCACGTAGACCGCGGCGGCCTTGGCCTTGACCGCGCTGATCATGGCGCGATCCCACTCGTCGCGCGTCTTCAGCACGGCCTCGACCCAGCTGAGCTGCAGGTCCCAGAACTCGCTCTTGAACTGCTCGTACACGGCCGGCACGCTGGCCTTGTCCGCCTCGAGCAGGCGCACGGTGAAGTCGACCGGCTTCCACTTGGGCTTGACCGCCACCTCGAACGTGTCCGGGTAGCGCGCGAAGAAGTCGAAGGCCGCCACCACGTCGTCGCGGAACTTGGGCGCGAACGCGTCCTGCCGCCGGAACCGGACGCCCTTGTTGCGCCGGATCGCGCCCAGGTACTGCACCACCAGCGCGTCCGACATCTCCTCCACCAGGATGTCCACCAGCGTCGGGTGCAGCGCCGCCGAGTAGTCGCCCATGTAGTCCTCGAAGGTCGAGCAGATGCGCTTCATGGCCATCTGCTCGTACCACTTGCCCGCCACGAAGAAGTCCGACATGGTGGCGCGGAAGTCGACCAGGAACATCAGGCTGACGAAGCGGTGGATGCAGTGCGTGGCCAGGTCGACGTAGCCGTCGCGGAGGCTGTCGAGTTCCGCCGCGGCGACGCTGGTCATGAATTTCGACGACACCAGCGGCGTGAAATCGTTCTTGAAGCGCGTGACGAAGCCGAGTTGGGCGCCGGGGTCTCCGGCGTCGGCGTCGGCGTCGTCGATGCAGCTGATCTGGTCGTTGGCGATAGCTACGAGCCAGTCCTGCAGGAGTTGCAGTCCGTCGGACAGCTCAGGGGTGGGGTTGCGGAATTTGATGACCTCGTCATTCACGAGCTTCTCCCACTGCTGCTGTCTTGTCTTGAGCGCTGTGAACATTGCGCTTACGACGCCTTCTACCACGTCTTCTCGTTCAGAGTCCCCGGCTGACATGGTCTGCTCTCGCAGCATGCGCCACATGTCGCCCAGGGTCTTGGTGCGGAAATGGCCGTTTGCGTCTTGATCGAGAGCATTGTCAGCGCGGCTGAGAAATGAGTTCTTGTCGGTATTGTACATCCTGTCCATCCATTCGGAGAGGGTGGTGGTGATCAGATTTCGCCATTCGCGCACGAGATCGCCTTCCCGCGAGTCCAGTACATGTGGTGTAAGGTCTGACGGAGGTATTCCCAGCTTCTTCATCTTCTTATAGTATTCCTCTACATAGTGCACAATAGCAAGCATATTTGGGGGTCGAAGGTCTTCCGAGTCCACGAATGAGATAAGAAAGTCGTGCATGAGACGGTGATATATGTCGACGTAGGTCTTGTATATTTTCCACTTCTTGGGGAACAGGTTCTGCATACCCTGCTGACATACAAAAAGATCATTGAAAAACCACTTCAGCTGTTTCTCAAGTTTGGACGGCTCCTCCATGAACTTGTCCCTGGTCTGTTCGAACTGGGCCTTGCAATATGCTTCTATGCAACTTAAGAATTTCTCTTTGTAGCCTCTTTCCATCTTAGGGCTGATAGTGAAGGAGGTGAATTTGTCGGCAAGGTCTTGATGATCCTTTCGCGCATCTTTTAACGCTCTGACTCTCTCATCATTCTTCTCTTCAGCGGCAATCACGATTGCCAGCCTCACAATGACTCCTGGGTTACCAGCCTGAACGAGGTTGATCAAGTTCATGCATGTTTGCCCAACATGTACGTCAAACAAGTCGATAACTGGCTCAAGGCCCTGGAACCACTCCTCCAAGGTCTGTTGCAGGCTTGTGTCCTTTGCTCTGTTGATCTGGTACATTGCCTCGTCTCGGAAATCTCGTAACCTGGTCAGCTTCATGTGCGCCTCCAGTAAGCCGGGTTGGTTCTCCAGATCCTTCTCGTCGTCCACGAGTAGTCTCTCCACCTCGGCAACATCATCGTTGAAAGTCGCAAGACCAGATTGCATGGCCTTGGTCGCCTCGAAATTGCGATGTACCCTTGCCAGGTAATCAATCTGGGGGAAGTCCTGCCGTATAGCTTGAGCCTGTTCACACAGGTCGGCAATGCTCTTCATTTCATCCTTGATCTGTCCAACGAGCTTTTGTCCTTCAGCCAGCGTTGACATCCCAGACTGCGTTGATTCGAGATGTTCTCCGAGTCCCTCTCGTAACCTGGCATCGATATCGCCCTTCTTTCTCGAGAACTCTAGCTTCAACGCTGGGATCTTTTCAAGATCTTCTGGTGTTCGCAGGAGATCTGCTATTCGAGGGACCAGAGTCCCGTCTCCAGTGCCTACATCGCCCATTGTGGACGTGTGGACAGCGTGTGGTGACTTCGTCGGTTTCAGAGTTCTGTAGGCCTCTCGTGGGGCTAATTCAACGATATGCGCACGCCTTCGCCATGTTTAATGCGCTCTCGAAGCTGTAGTGGTGTTTAGAATCACATGTACGAGACTTTATGAGTCGAAGCAGCCATGCGCCCGTTGTTGATGTTCACCTACGGATAGCAATGCACAGAAATGTTCGACACAAACTTATGCATCAATGACCCTTGTAGAAAAGAAAATTGACGGCGAGAATAACGGTGTCGCGATTTTGAACTACGAACAGCTTTTGACCCAGTTGCCCAACTCCTCCGCACCCAAGCGCTAGCAAATGATCAATCGAGAACATATGGCACCGAAGCAGCAACTCTTTGCACTCCAGCAATCATCTAAAGCAAACGCACTCACTCTTAAAAGCTCCTCCGACCGACTACAGCGCTTTACAGGTTGACTGCGGAATATCAGATCCATCTTACGCCAAAGACAACTTGCGGCATCGCGCCGCCATCAGACTTTGACGACTAGCACACTCAACTTGCAGCTCCACTCGGAGTTCTAATCAACTCCCTCCACCTTCGTTTTACAAAAATCATGTCAACACAAACCTACTTCCGCATAACCCTAATGCGCTCCGCCATCGGCCTCCCTTACAAATCTACCGGTGTTCTCAAAGCCCTCGGACTGCGGAAGCGAATGGCAACAGTGTTTCATCCAGTCACTCCAGCGGTGGCAGGCCAAATCATGAAGGTCAAAGAGTTGGTGGCGGTCCGCGAGGTGGAGCGACCACTGACGAAACAGGAAGTGCATATGGAGAGGGTGCCGGATCCGGGGTTCTATATTGAAAGGAGGCTTGGAGAGGAGAGGTGAAGAGCATAATGGGACGTAGGTATATTGAGGACTATGAAGGATGAGCTGTGAGAGCAATCAAGATATTCTCGACTGTGAGGAAAGCTTCAGATTAGGGGCAAGGAGTTGCATTGAAAGAAGTTTATGCGCATAGCTATGGCAACTGCTGTCAGAGCAATACGCAAGCTGCAGCGTTGAGCTAGAGACTCTGCGAGTTGCAGTATAGAAACTTCGGAGAAGGCATTGAAAGCCTTCAGAACAAGGCCCCTAGGAAGCCACATGAGAAAGCCCGATCTAAATTGCTGCCATCTGAACACATATCAGTGGTACTGACGAAGCCTTCTCCGTCTTCACCTTTCGACGTCGTGCGCCAGGTGGTGTTTTCGCACTCTCATGTCTGTTCTGCATCTCTTCCGGCCACTATTGAGTTCCCATAGTGGCAAGTCACAACTCAGCCAGACAGTGACCCCTTCCATCTACCTCTGATGCGACAGGATAGGCCACAGCACGGCTGCTTCCCTGCTCGTCTTTCATCGTGATTGCAGATCAGAGTTATCTCTGCATCCCAACCCTCCAGATTGGGTTGTTTGCTTGGTTGCTACGTGGTGATCCTGCTATCGCGCTTGATCCCATGGGCTCGTTCTTAAATGGGTCGGCTCTCTCGTCTTCCGTTTTTCAAAGCCCAGTAACATCGAGTGATGACATTAAGCTTGAATGGCGATCGCTGGGGCAGTACTGTCCGCTGGTTCGTCCTCAGGCAGATCATCCTACACAGCCATCAAAGAATGCAAAGATAGAAGTGAAGAGACTGTTGAATACCTGATCGAAGATGACCTTGATCATCAAACTACAGCTCGGGCACACAGCGATCTCCTCGCCATCTCGGAGGTCTGCAATTCCGATTTCGAAGCGATCGCCACAGGGACAGGGGTAGTGATAGATTTGCAGCATCTTGTCGAAGGTCATGTCTTCGATCTCAATCTCATCGTATATGTTGAGGTCGTCTACCATCTTGACACAGTAATATGGAACGACGCTCTGAAGGACACGATGAGTGGAAATATTTTGTGGAGCGCAATGTGAAAGCAACTGTGGGGATCCTGATCTGCGGGCATTGCCCCCTCGAACCTTCACGTGACATGTCTTGGCAAGAGGCTTGGTACCCAGAGTTTTCTCTCTATCCCCAGTTCAGCTTGTACGAATCGAAGCAGAAACAACATCCTCCTTGGCAAGGAGCCAGATAAGCCAAATATGTGCATTAGCTTCTGTTGGATGATATGAAAATCCTATATGTTCTATCAATATGCCAGCGTAGCATAGAAGGCACGTTAGGGCGCTCCTCCTTGGCTTGGTGATGTGGTATCAAGACAGATCCCTTACCCTCCATGATGCTTCCAGAGCACAGCAAAGAGGTAAGATGACTGCTAAGCTGAAGAAAGTCGTCATTGTTGGAGCATTTCAGCTTGCCGGACATCCAGATGGCAATCGTTGTCCAGCAATGCGCTCAACACCACAGGGCGCTCAGCCAATAGCCTCCCTTCCGCTCCTCCCTCCAAGATTTTTCCTTTCCAAAATCCTCTACTCAAGTTCCGCGATGAAATCTTTACCCAAGAGCTTTTCTACCTTCTCCTCATATTCTCTTCCTCGATACAAGTCGTCACAGCCCTGCCTCATCTCTATGTCTGGTGTTCCATCCTCCTTGAACATGCCAACGTGGTCCAGAGGTCGATATCCCTGCAGCTGATCTCTTGCCTTCCAGTTCACCGTCTCGTTTCCCGGCTTTCTCGGCAAAGGCAAAAAACGCCCAACCTCGGACTTGGCACGATCATCACCTTCGTACTGGAATTCAGTACGGTCCGGCCAAAGAGCTTCTGGATGGTTTTCGGTTGGCACAGACCATGAAGCCCAGATTGTTTCATGAGCAAGCACAGCAGACCGGTTGTCATCGAACGTTTTACCGTCAAGGACAGGTCTGATTGCGACCTTTGCATCAACTGTGTTTCTAGCCTGCTTGATGGCAATATTCTTCTTCATAATCTCCATTTCCATGGCGTTCATCGAGGCTCGATGCTGAACCCAAACCGGATAGGAACGAGGGACGAAAGGGGATTCAGGTACGAAATGATGCAGCAGGGTTGACAAGCGAGCATATTGGTCCTTGTCCTTGGTATCGTTGGATTTCCATGTCTTTGACTGACTATGGGCTGGAGGTGCCGGAGCGATCAAGAGCCCCGTTGGTGCATCAAGATGTGAGAAGAATATTGGATCAACATCTACCTGCGTTGGCGTCGGCGAGTTTAGCACGACCTCCACCTTCCTGTTGTTATAGCCCTTGCCAGTCATATCAAGGGAGCAATGAGCAGCGTTCAGCACTCTGGATGTTCTATGCTTGCAGTCAGCTTGATCGGGAAGACGCCTCCAACATACCTACAACGAGAGCGAGTCGGGCAAGAACTAAACAGTAGCCCAAGGATGATGCCTGGCACCAACACCTTCGTCGTCTCGGTTGTCTCTAATAGCAATATCAAGGTGAGAATTCTTGTTGGACATTGGTGGGTGTGAAGCAGAAAACTGAAGTGCTTATTGATAGAAGGTAATGCACTTTGTCACTGTTAAGCTGAACAATAGCTGTCATGTTGCTGAATCACTCTATACGGTTGTTTGTTGCCAGTCACTAAAGATGGTGCCATTGGGTGGTCGAGTTGGCACGTGAATCTCTATTGAAGCAACACCATAGCACAATGTCATGCGAACATGAGGTTTGGGCGGAGAGAGCCGTCAATAAGCGCGTGCACGCAACGGCTGCCTGGGCAGTGAATTTATCTTTCAGATAAGTAGGATGATTCATCAATTCGATTGTGCGGGAGCAATGCTGTGTACAAGAGTCATACTGGGAGGAGATTCTGCCGGTGGACAGTTCGAGTCTAGAGACACCAAAAGTGTTCCTCTCCTACAAGCCAACGATGCGAGAAAGAATGAAGAGATGAGATTTTTTTGATTTCCATGCATGACTCGAACTTACTACACAAATGCCAAAGCCGAACTCCACAAACAAGCGACAAACGTCTCACGACCTGCCGTTGACAAACACCTGCTAGACTAAGGTTTCAATAGCAAGGATCCAAGCTACTCACACCGCGACTTCCAGTGAGCAAAAGATAACAGACATGGAGGACAAGTCTCAATGCTCGAGCAGGTTAGACATTTTCTGTCTTCCAGCCGCGGGCAACTCGAGGATAAGAGTATTCCCCAATCCACGATAATCGATATGTTTCCGCTGTCCACTTTGACTGCGATTCGCAGCACGGCACTCCCCTTCCAATTTGCCGGCCCATTATCAGCTTTGCGGCCTCTAATACCATTTCTCCATACAGCCTTCGAAACTGACACGAAGTCCCACCCCGTCCTCGAAGCATACCGTAAGGATCAGGATCAAGATCCACTCTGGACCAGGGACGACAGATAGATCCGTGCCCGGCCTCGCATCGACTTGGATTGTGACAGTGTCCCAGCTATTGCCTTGTCAGCATACCATATCCGTCAAAGAAACTCGATCCATCAAGAACAAGGGGAAATACCGGTCGTTCAAGCACCAACAGCCTTAGTGATACTGGACAGATACAAGACGGAGAGTCCACAATAGTAACGACGGGACCGGCCACCTCGGACCAACGTCTCTCGTCTTGTGTGTGCCCAACTCGACCACCACTCCTATTATCCCTCTCCTAGCTCTACGAGAACAGACAGCAAGTCACTTGGCCACGCATTGCTTTCCGCAAAGCTGTGGGATTGCCGTGCCCTCCAGCATTAGCTCCAACTAACATGGGGCATCATGTGACATGTACCATCCATGCGTGCGTTTTCCTGAAACTTTCCCCGGTGATATACATCCTGGTGACGTCTAGAGCAAGCAAACCCGGAAACCAATCATGGGCCCGCTACGCGTCTAGGAAGAAATCCAACGGATTATCAGTCTGTCATACTCATACACGTATCCCTTCGAGGGGATAGAGGCTACTGTACAATCTAAGTAGTTAGTTCTTTCCATCCATCATCCATCTAAATAAACCAACCAACCAACCAATCGTTCAATATTCATACACACACTCTCAACCACTGCACTGCAGATACAGTAGTTCTCGGCACCCAACAAATCATCCAGCAGTAGCAGCGTTGAACAAGCAACGCCTGAAATGCAGTGCTTGCCCACCACCCAAATCTAGAAGAACACCCAGAGCCAACCATAGGAAGCAGAGAGGAGAAAAAACCGAGGCTGGAATTGTTGTACAACTGGCGAAAAAGACCATCTATAGGGAGATGGAGTAGTTAAAGCCAGATATCAAGCATCCCCTGCGCCCCACCATACCAAACAACAGCCATGCCTCCTGATTCCCCCTTTTCACCGCAAGCAAGCAATGCGATGCGATGTAATTACAGATGGATAAAAGCGTGGGACGGGCATGATCAACGTGCTGAAGAAAGAGGTATGTGCCGAGGGCTTGATGGGTATAGCTAGGATATGTCCTGCGCTCGGGGCGTCGGAACGGACGAGCCATGTAACTAGAGGTAGTAGCATTGCGCGCGGGGACAGTGGGCAGCTGGACAGTAAAGTATGTAGCTGGATCCAGGGAATCCGTGACGGTTGGACATTGAGGGAGAAGGTGAGGGAGAAGGTGAGGGAGAAGGTGAGGGTGAGGGTGAGGGCGAGGGTACTAATGAAAAATCTTGAGGATCATGACTCCGGTTCCGGGCCCCCCCAATCACGGCCGGGCTGGCACATTTTTGCTCGTTCGATCGTTGTGCTTGTCTGACGCATTTTTAAAGGGGTAGGGAATAGCAGACAGAAGGAGTGCGGAGCACAGCACAGCAGGGTAGGCCAGGCTGATATCCCAAGGTATCCGCTTTCGCATGTCGTTTGGTCAGCTGCTCTGCTTTGTTCGCTGTATGAAAACTGAATAGAGGCTGGTGGTGGACGAATTCACGGCTTAACTGATGCTTTTCGTGGGAGCGAGAGTCAATCATCATTGTACGAGCATGCTTTCGCTGCATAAGCAAGCTGTCAGGGATATCGAGATTGAATGGATGGATGTTGATTTGGGAAAGGGGCGGCGCGTGGAAGAGAAAGACAGAATATGTATCGATGAGGTCGGGAGGAGCTTCGGGGGTGAAAAGTCAAATGTTGGCGAGGGCAGGAGAGGTTATCGAAGAGATTCGGAAGTGCATGTCGGAGAAGGATAGGGCGTTCATCAGACCCACTTTCCCGGGGTCTCCGTTTTGCAATTCTCAAGTTTTGATCTGTGAGGCATGATTTTTGCTGTTCGATCGAGGGCGGTGGAATAGCGTACTTCTTATACTATAGAAGAGTGGTGGTTGTTCTGGACTGCTAATGAGGAAGCAAGGGCAACCAAGAGCAGCGTTGCCCCAACTTCTGCTGCAGCCGAGTCTGGGACCTCTGTCTTCTTATTTGTCTTTGCAGCGTCGTGTTCAAGGAGGTGAACCACACCATTCACAAAGAAAGTCCTTAGTGATTCATCAAACTAGACATTCCCTCTCATTTCCCATATCTCCTCTCCCTCCTCGTCCTCCGCCGCTAAGTCCTTTTCCGGCCTGCTCGAGAGATCCCAGGAGGTACTACTTGGTAGCTGATCCAACACCGCTCGGTACTGCAACGAGACACTTGGAGCATCATGCTCATTCATAACGAAGAACAATAGCCACTCATCCACTTCCAGGATTCGGTAGGCCGGCCCAAAAACCAGGCTTCCAGCGCAGTGCTTGGTGAAGCGAACTCGCCGCTACCTTCGGGGTAAATCTCTTTCTCTGAGGTTTTAGCCTTTTTCCTTGAGGATTTTACCTTTTTCTTGAGTCGAAAATTGCGGACAGCCAGCCTCTGCATCGATATAGCGGCGTAGGCTCCGGTATGCGGCTGACGGCCGTTCTCATGAAGGACGGCGTTTCAGCATCGACTTGGATCTCGGGTCGCCAAAAGCGTCCTGGGCGCTGTACACCAACTGCAATGAGATATCGCGGAAATAGATCGACATCAGTGTTCAACAATGCAACTGCAGCCGTCATAGATGCAAAATAATCTGCTCCATTTTCCTCGCCAATAATGCCAGACAGCACTGCGGCCTCTCCAAGCGGCTTTCCATTCATTAGTACTTGGGCTTTCAGCAAGCCATCGATTCCGGTAGGAGAGGGCCCATGCATCCTGAGTTTGGTTCTAGGATGCTCGGAGCGATACCACACCCAAAATGCGATAATATCGCTTGTTCGAAACGTAGCCGGAGTCTCCTCCCTCCTGCTCTTCCGTTTATGAGCCCCTTCGCGCCGTTGACTCTCCTTGAGGAAGTTGAGACAAGCAATCCGCTCGGAAACTGGGAGCGATTGATCCACACCCTCCCCTTTGACACTTCGGTCGGAGAATTCGACCACCGTCTTGTAGACAGTTTCTCCATTTTTGGTCAGCTCAGGCGCCAGCTTGAAGTGGCGAAATCTCGGTACGGAGAGGAATCTTGCTGCGTAGTTGTACACGTCATGCTTGACCATCCTGTCCTGAGCGAGCTCTTTGTCGTTGAAGGCTGTCCTATATTTAGTACTATATGCTAGTTTCAACAAGCCTTTCTGGTGCAGCTGAGTAACTATGTGAAGATATGCAGCTTTTTCGGCCTCTTTCTGGGCGAGACGTTAATATGGCAATTTCTATTTGTTGAATCATGCATCGTCCGAAGACTTACTTTCATGGTAGCTTCCCCGATGGCTGACATGCGCTGGGATCCAAAGATTTCCACAGTAACCTGGTATCGATAGAGACGTTGCATATTCATGCCAAGAAACACCGAGCTAGATTTGCAATTGCCCCGAGGAATCCCATGGATTACGCTCTTTGGATTTTCAGAGGTGAGTTCTGGTATCTCGGGATAATCAGAGTCCGTGGGTATTTGGTTGGTCCCTCGAGTGTAAGCACCGTCCAAAGCAGGCATTTCTTTACGTCCCGACCTCGAAGAGGCCAATGAGCTGTAAGATTTTTGGTCTCCTTGACATCCGAAGCTTGTATACGTAGTCATGTGGCACAGCGGATAGCATGGTGCTGGCAAGAGCCGCCTGGGAAGTTTTGACGGTGCTTTGGCAAACTGAGAAGATCGCAGAACCTTGGTCCCAGATTGGATTAAAGGGATGCAAGGCGTGTAGAAGGTGGTCTTGCGAGCTACAAACATTAGCCTTTGCAATGTTGCTTGGCCTGGCCGCCAGACATGAGATAGTGGCTTAGAAGAACAGCTGTGATAATCATAATTCTACGACCATCAAACACCCACCCATGTAGCGGCATGCAGGTTGGAGAAAAGAGGACTTTTAGAAGGCTGATGCGTAAATCGAAAATTTTCCCGAGTGGCTGCATGCCAAGATGTTGAATGCTAACTTTAAATTACTTGCACGTGTAGTGTCCGGGTATCCATAACTAATCTACCGGTGTAACTAGTGCTGCACTGCACTACGTGGTAGGTCTCCACCCAAGAACAATTTACTGCCATTGGTCGACTACTAAAAGCCACACTGCGGGGCCCCTGAAATATTGTTAGACTGATGGTAGTAGCAACTACTACGGGTACAGGCCTAATTTTTGTACCCCCCCTGGGTCAAAATATCTTACAAACATGTTTTTTACACAACCCACCCTGCCAGCATCCCTGTCAGCATTGCGTCACTATTTTGCACAAATTTTGCTCATCCTGCAAATGCTACTCATCTCACTCTGTACGCATTCTACTAATTCTGCATAGATACTAATGAGCTTGATGATAAGATGAGCTATAAGCACTGCTTCATGGTATATTATGTCTTCTAAATATCTTACAAAAGCTGCTTCAGTAGATACAGACAAGATGTCAAGCAGTTAGAGGTGTTAATAGAATGTAAAAATTGATTTTAGAGACTAATCTTATTTAGGCCATAATGCGGACGACTATACCTAATTTTATATAGTATGTTTTGTACGGATACTGACCTTTTCAGCAGGGGGGGGTACAAACATTAGGCCTGTACCCGTAGTAGTTCCCGTTACTCTCTCATAGTGCCGTGATTCGCTATTACAGAGCTTGATTTAAGTACCACCATCCAAATGGGATAAAAACTTAGTCTTAGTCTAATATAGGCTTAGCTGTTTGTACAAAGAATGTTTTTGTGTAAAGATACTAGCGCTGAGCAAACAATACTTCAGGCCCCCCGCAGGTCACTTAGTGTGCAGAGTAAAGCGTGGCATCACTACTACGTACTAGTATCACAAGAAACCTAATTAAGAGAAGACTACTTGGCCAGATCGAAATACTATGTCGCAAGAAATCTTAGGAAAGGTCGAATGATTGAATTTAGACTTTCACACCACCTCCATCTCACGAACCAGCTCTACGTAGTAAGTTAGCCATCACAGTAGCAGGGGGAGGAGGGCCCTTCGCAACAATTCAATTGATACACCCAATGGTCCTTTTAACGCCTACTTCCCATCATATGAAACCAAATATATCTTGCCATCTGCATCTGCTCATCAAACGTATAAATGACCCTTCCGGATTTCCCGTGTAATAGATCAGTTCGCTACACTTCATGCGTCGCCAGGTGATATCGCGCTTGCAAGATGCATTCTCAGTTCATGACACGTATATCGGCCCGCAGCCCATCCCAGGCTCTGGCATCCACGAGTGTTGAAGAACCCGCCTTATCCTCGGCCCAGAAGCGAACACCCCAGCATCTTTTCGTGGCGGGATATACACGAGTACTGATTGCGCATCGCTCGTTGACAAATACCTCCAATACAGACTCGTCAAACCACGCCCGAATCTCCAGCCTTTCCCTTGATCCATTTGCGGACTCGAACAGCGTAAAGGGTGCCGTCTCAGGCATGGTGCTAATATCTGGGTCCACATTCCTCAGGTCTGGGCGGCTGACATAAAGCGTCTCCTCAGCCGTCAAGAGAGAAATGGTGGTTGAGCTAGAGAGATCTCTATCCTGGGTATGAAGGATGGACAAGCCAATTCGCTCGCACGCATTCGAAACACCGAAGACGGAGTAAAGCTCGAATCGACAAGTCTGTACATCTAGCACGCATGAATCATCGTAGGCGCTTGGGTTTCGTAGATTTCTGCTACCGGGTATCGAGATCTCGCGCGTAGATTGCCGCAGCGCCTCAACATTCTTGGCGGGAATTATGCTCAGAGTACGGACTGTGTATGTGCCTTGATTCCCAGTCTCGGGTTGTGCTTCGATGGATGTGATTTCGGTGAGCGATGAGACTAAAGCTGCCTTGATGCGCTTCATAGTCTGGATTTTTACTTCTCTAGGAAGCGAGATGAGTCCGCTCCAATTCTGTCGGTCGACGAGTTTCTGCGGCAAGTCTTCTTCGGTGATCTGGCCGAAGACTACCGTTCGCGAAGACTTTGGGTCCCTGAAGGAGTGGAAGCCATGGGCGATGCCGTGATCGAAACGTCCTCCCATGGTGTATTGTAGCTTCGGCACCGGGGTACCATCGGCCCTCCGTACAATGTTGATCGTGCCACACATCCATTGTTGCGAGCGTTCAGCGCGAGGAAAGTGTGTGTGTTGCTGTGGGTGCTGGATGGAGGATATACCTTGCTTCGCAGGTGCCGATCCTTCTGCACTCACAATGACAAGCTCTCGACGGACATTACCCTCGCTGTCAACCAGCGTGGCGAAAATGGCACATTTCCAGTTGATCCCCATATTGCCAGACCAGCGCGAAATATTATGATTCAGACCTAGTTCGACCAGATCACAGATGAATCTCCACTGTGTCATATTGCTCTTGTCGATCGCATAGAGAAAAGCTGTCGGACCTCTGCCCTTTATTCCTCCCGCAAGAAGTCCGTATAGATTCCCTTCTCCTACTGGTCTCCCGAGCGCCATGTCCAACGAGGGCCAAGGAGCAACCATTGGGTCACGCCAGCCAGTCACGGTCAGGCCTGCTGGTGTTTCGGGGAGAATTGGGTTTGCTTCATCTTTGACCCATGTCACGCCGCCATCCCTAGAGTGCGCAATGTTCAATGTCTCTGACTGGCAAATATCGGGAAGGCTGAAATGTAGTGGTAGCCGGCTGGCGCCAGTATAGAAGACTGTAAGGCCTCTTGACCCATCGGCAGCCGCAGAATACATGCAACCACTAAAGCATCCCTCCTTATCGTACCACTCTCCAGGTTGGAGACTTGGTGTTCCTGAGACAGTCCAGGAGACCAAATCTTTGGAGGACGCTTTTCCCCAGACCATTGATCCCCACGCGATCTTGCCATATACGTTTCGTCTTGGGTTCCACTGGAATGAAACATGATAAAGTCCTGTTGCGGGATCGTATCCAGGTGCGCAAGGACCATTCATCCACGCATTGGCAGCCAGCATATGATACATTGGCCGCCACCGTAGAAAATGCAGCGAGGGCAGTGACCTCTCGTATATGCCGTTAGGGACATGATTGACACGCTTCACACCCACTTCATCATGTACCACAGATATTTTTCTGGCCGCGATGACACTGCCAATTGAGCTGCGTTGTGCACGAGCAAGGGTGGTATCAATGCTAAACGGTGCTTCAAATAACGACATCCTTTGTACATGCAGAGAGGGGTGTCAAAGCAGGGGGGAAGCGATGAAAGAGTAGAGGGGATAAATAGTCTTACCTTCCACTATGCCACCTGCGATTGCGGTAGGATAATCAACAAAAAGATGTCGGCATCGATGTTATACATAGAGTTAGTGCATCAACATATTAATCTAGTTAGACAGTGCCATATCAATAACTTCAGCCACGAAACTCACGCATCGAAAAACTCATTGCAGATTGGAGCGCACGTAATAGGTTTGTTGACCCCGCAGACTACTGCAAGAAAGATCCAGCACGTCGGACCAGGTACCTGGATCTGCATGCACGATCAAAGTCTCTCTTGGGTGCATGTTGCTTTGTCTGACTATTGCTCTGTGGACGACCCGGTCGTCCGATCATAGTTACGTTTGAGACGGGATGCTCAATCAACACTTATCGTCAGCCACCACAGATGCTAGAAGGGCCTCGCACGGCATGGATGACTGCTGCCACTTGGTAAAATAGGGCCGATTGACGCATCCTTGATCTATCACACAGTCATATCAAGCTCATTGTAACCCGCATTCGGACCTCGACAACTTGCTGAGGAGCAGCTCTTCTCAAGTGACATACACCCCTACACCGTGCAAGCCAATAGAGATGGTAGGATTGGCGCATTTGGACATGGCTGCAGCTCATCTATGTCGTAGCTCATCCACCGTGTATTTCAGGTACCACGGGGGTGTGCTTCATGAAGATGGTGTGGAGGAAATATGTTGGTTCGAATGGGTAACTCATCCGTGATGAATCGGTCGATGCAAGATATTGGTGCTCTGATCATTCTGGCCAATCACTGAATGAAATGAGTCACTTGGACGTGGGTAGGAGTGTGTAGGAGTGTGTAAGAGTGTGTAGGAAGTTGTGTCATGGATTGCATTTTGCATTACTGCAAAGTGTCGTATCACTTGCTTGTCGAGACTCGCTCGAGACTCGCTCGAGACTCGCCCCGAGATGCCCTGTTAGTCCAGGTGCATTTGGTAAGACGCAAAACGCCACGTGACGTAAGCAGCCTCAGAATCTTCCTGCGGTCATTGACAAATGTTTCAAGATGCGTGGCGCTTGGGCCAAGGAGAGAAGACGAACTGATACGATCTCGATATGGGGACTCGATGCAACTCCATGGAATTCCAGGGTTGGAATGCCGATATCCTGTCTATCAGCAATCTCGGGACACGGTTGATTGGGTGGCCTTATTGAGAAATGTGTCCAGCCCGGGGTCGAGCGGGTGAGAGTCGCTCAAAGTACGCCCGTCTACTAACTAGTACTTTTACGTCGCTGACGCTGCATGTGTTGTGGGTAAATACTCGGTGCTGTTAGCCTACTGGGCCGTCAGAAGTGTTGGCTACCTGTCCGAACTTGCGGGAACACCCCGACGGACTCTGGAGACCAGGTTCCCCAGCATTAGTAGTAAGGTAAAGTGTCGTGACTTCATATCTCGGCTGGAGAGAAAATGTCCCAATTCGAGACAAGCGAGCGCCTTCACAGAATGCTGTTGATCTGGTAAGCGAGGCTCCCAGCGAGACTGGCCACCTGCTCGTCAGTCGCCAAGTCAAGCGCCCTCCTCTGAGATGAACAACAATAGCTCGGTCCGAGCGGGGAGAAGGGAGACAATCACGGTGCTATTCTGTTGTGAAACATCCGATGTGTTTGACATGCATCGGGAATGCCGATGGTTGAGCTCGACATTTCAAAATAGCCATAGGGGTGGCAATTTCTGTATCGAGAGCGATGATCTGCTCGGCTCCAGAGAGCAAACCCTTCCAATCGTCAGGCGTATTCATACTCGATTAAACCATTTGTGTGATATTAGAGCTCTGTAAATCGATCAGAAGGCTATTTCAGCATGAATGGAACACCGATCTATAAAAATTCTCGCAGGATCTGTGTTGCAAAGGCCATCTACTAGCTTTGCTGTTTTGCCTACCCTTGCAGGCACTCTGTCCTACCTAGAGAATGAGATAGAGGGTCCCAGACTACCTAGCTGGTGCAGTCCAGTAGTATCAAAGCTGAAGCAGCGTTTTCGGCAGAGACCTGAGAAACCAGGGAAACCATGATGGTGTCTATGGTGAGAAGCTGGCAGAAGCAATAAGAGCCTTCCAGTAGTTAACAGCAGACCACGTCAGCTTTCGCAGGCAAAAATATAGCGGCCACAGCATAGACTATACCATCGAGAGTACACAGGAGCAGATTCTAGATGCCCTGCATTCGACGTGGTGCGGCGTGAGAGAGACTTTATGACGAGGAGCTGACTGTTGGTGATGCTGAACCTTAGTGGCCGAGCAGCTTGCTACGAGCTGCAGCGATAGTTTGGATCTGGTGCAGTGAAGAGATCGGTCATAGTTTATATAACGACAGCTGGCAATCAGTGTGTGTTGACCATGAGTCTTGTGTGAAAACAAGGATGAAATGGGAGAAGTTGTTGGCTTTACCCACGTGAGTAGCGTTCGCCAGCTCTTCCTTGGTTTAATAGATACTGTACAACACAGAAGTGCCGGTTGAATGGGGCCAGGCATCTCCGTGGATGCATAACTATCCCCAGATGAGATCAGAGATACCTAGGACTGGACGCCATCATTCATCCACAGGTTCTGGCCTCCCAGCAAATAATATCTTGAACTTGATTATCTCCACGATTTCAAGCTCCTCTCCCATCTCTTCTGACCCACCTTCATGCTCCGTATCAACAATACTATCGGACTTCTCTTGTGTAGCCTTCTTCCTCAACACAGCTACAGGCTTTCCTAGTTTCTTAGCTTCTCCAGTCAATCGCTGATGTTTGCCAACGTAGAGGTACACCCTTTTCATCCAGCTCACATCTTCCTCTCCTAGTAGAGAGGAATTGTAGTAGGGGAACACAAGGCGACCAATAGGTGTCTCTTGCAATGCGTCCTTTTCGAGAGACTGGTCGAGAGATTGCGGGAGAGTTGCGTTTTGGTTGGAGGATGTATGCAATGTGCCCTGGATCTCAAGGAGCGCAAGGCCGGAGGGTGTTTGGATAAGATGCGGTAACGGGTTTGAAACTGCGAGAGGTCGGGATGAAGGAGGTAGGTGGAGAGGTACAGCAGGCATCTGGGTCTTTCAAGCCTCTCGCAAGGCAATTCTATGCCAAAAGATGGCGCTTTTAACACGTTCTTCAGGATGGTGAAGAGGGTGAGGGAGAGGTAAACTAAATCAGTGGCACCATTTGACTGGATGGTCGTGAAGAAATAATTCTCGCAATATCTGTCACTAGAAGTCCACCAGCCATAAGTTGCTAAATCTAGATGATATTGCCAACACGGTGAATTCCTCCATCTCGCCCTTTTGTCTCACCGGAACAATTGTCGTTCTTGCTTCCTTCCACCGCACTTCACTCGGAAAAGATACTTTCAAACCACACCGTCGTAACATCCTCCACCAGTGGCTTCGCAAAGACTTTCAGTCCCTTGTGCGCCTCACATTCATTATCGTAGTAATCCATGTCGGCTTTGCTTGCGAATGTGGTTTTGGCCACAATGTTCCAGCCTTTCGAACGCGGGTCTTGTCCTGTCTCTCCAACTTCGCATGTTACGATGTATGGCTTGCCGTCCTGAAAAGTCATCCGTGAGCATATGGTACGCTAGTCTATTGTAAAGCGTCCAAGGTATTACCTTAACAGCATTCTGTTTCAAGGTCTTGTATTGATCGAGTATCTTCCTCCGGTCCTCTGCGTCAGAAACCTTGAACATGGTGACTCGTTCGATTGGTTTGGCCATTTCGACTTTGCCTCCAACGGAAAGCCGGAGATGCAATTGGAATTACAAGACACAGAAAGATTGCCTGTTGTGTTTTTAGGACTACTCAACGTGCAGGCGGCTGCTTCAGAGCTCTGACTGGAATACAAATGGAGTCAATTGATAAAGGAAAGAGCAGTGTTCGCCGTGAGAAAAGAAGACTGGGAGAGGGCCTTGATGAACACAACGAAATGGAAGCAGACTCTGGAAGCAGACTCTGGAAGAAACAGATCAATCAACATCCTAGCACATTGCTGGCCGCCATACCCACCGGAGTCCGGATGAAGAGACAGCCTTCATCCCGCCAAGAAGTGGAGATCCGCAGCCTTTAGTTTACGGAGAACTATAGAGTGAAGTTTGCAGGATGTGGGAGGCATTGGGAGCGCTCCGCAAGAGTTAAGGTATCTAGCTAGAAGGATGCTCTGCATGCTGATGTTTTGTTTATTGAGTGTCTCATTGTACATGATTCTCGCACGAAGCCGCAGATTGTCAATGCAGCCGTAAGTGTGGCTCGGTATTCTGTACCAGAAATATCAAATGCTTCCTGTAAGCTGTCGTCGTCGCCCTTTATACTTTGTTCATACCATAGCACGTGCCGACATGCTTTGCTTCAACGTGTCTGTGAATCACTCAACCCTGAAGGTTGGTTACAAGTCTTCAACGCCGGTTCCATGCAATGCTGTGCCACACGCTGGTTCAAAAATGCAGGTTGAAAACCAATAATACAGGAAAGAACAAGAGTGGAAACGTATCGCTTCTTATGTCAATCCAACGCCTTGCGAAGGTCATTCCACTTCTGTTTCAGTGTCTCGTGGTTTTCCGTTATCTGCGAATACTTTAGTCATGGTGATTGGGGAGGGAGGATAGGTTCTCACCTCAGCATATTTCATTTTTGTCTCTACAAGACTGGCCTCCATCTCAGCCATCGACTCCTCCATAAGGCGGTTGTCATTCTGAACTTCGATGTTACGTTGCATCACGCGTTCCATTTCATCTTTCAGTCTTGCTTCAACGGCAGCGGCTTCACTTTCCACCACTTTCTTCAGTTCCTCCACTTGGCCTCGGAGACTTTCATTGCTGTCGTGTAGTTCTTGATTCTCTACCTTGATCCGGACAAGATCGGTAGCAATTTGTACATGCTCTGTGTCGGATTTTTCTGCTCTCTCTTCAAGACTCCGGATCTTGGCTGCTTGTGTGGCTATCGTCGACCTGTAGTTGTCAATTTCAGTCTCTCGATCTCTCTCTGTTCGTATCTTTTCATTCCACTCAGACTGATATCTCTTGAGCATCTCAGGTGTAATCTTCACACTGCACGCATCCTGTACCAAGATGTCGGCTCGATAGACCTCGGTATCTGTTCCTCCAGAGCTCCCAAAGAAACCGGACTCGAGGATCGATTTGTTCGATGGAGTTTGGTCGATGTAGGCATCAAAGAGCTTCTCCTTAAGGAAGTTCGTCAAAGCGGCCATATCATCCATAGCAAGGAGTGTCGAAACATTTCGCTGCACCATAGCCATACCGAACTTGAGAATAGCACCTTCCAAGCCTTCAGAGAGAATTAGGTCGAATACGCGCATGACGAGTTGCAAGGGAAAGCGATAGGCGAATAAAGTGAGAAACCATTGAGTGGCGTAGAGTTTGGGAGTGACACCTCGACGGTTGAGGTGGCAATATAGGGCCGGTTCGAGGTCTTCTAAAAGTCTTTCAAACTGGTACAGATGCAGATGCAAACCGGGCATATCTTGAACAAAAAGTTCTCGAAGGCCGTACTTGTTCATAAGTCGAACCAGCAGGCAGAAAGCTTCTTCTTCGGGCATCGTGAAGAGTAATGGCATGATGATGAAATTCATTCCTTGCGGATACCCAACCCCATCATCGAACAGAGCGTAAGCCTTACAAACATTGAAAAGACCGTCTTGAAAGCCTGCAGCAACGGCATACTTCGAGTAACTCGTTCTTGCGCCCATGTCCCTTTTAATCATCTTCTCCAGCTTCTGAAGTGCAACAGCATCTTCGTTAACCCTTTTCTGACGTTCTGCTACCAGTTCTGCCTGCACTTTAGCCACAGTCTCGGTGTTTTTCTCAGCGGACGGAGCAGGTGAGTGGGCTCCTACAGTTGTGCTCGTTGCTGGAGTAGAACGATCAGAATGTACTGATGAACCAGAGGAAGCAATTGGCTCCTTCTCCTTGACGCTGCCATTGGCGTGTCCGTTAGGTAAGTGCACTTGCTGGCTGGTGTCTTTGGCTTCCTTGTCCGTGCCCCTGCGAAGGAGATCTTGATAGACGCCTTCCAGATCCTCGTTCTTACTACCTGCCAGGACTTGCCATATTACACCACGGATCGTCTGTGGGATTCCACTGGCTATCGATTGTGTCAATTCTTCAGGGCTCGTCCGGGCCACTGCCTGAGGCCCATCATTGACGACCGTCTGCCAAAAATCCCAATCAATAGGTGTCACGGCATCCTGTGCAGCAGTTGAAATGCCTGACACAGTCCCTGGAGCTAGAGTGGCGTTGACAGTAGACGGAGGTAATGGTGACAGAGGGCTTGTGATGGGTGAGCCAGCCAGGCCACTCTCTTTCTCGTCAGCTACGCTGCTTGGACTTGCAACGCCTACACCTAGACTGGTACCTCGTCCAATCAAACCAGCTATAGCGCCACCTTCTGACTTTTCCGGGTCGTCCAATGATGTTATGCCAGCCTCTTCTCGCATTCTCAGCGATTTAAATCTATCACGTAGCGTAGTCTTTGTTGGTGGCCGGCCTCCTTGAGTAGCGTTCGTCTCGTTCCCTTCGTCTAAGGTCTTCAACATTAACTCTGGGTTGCTGCCGATGGTTGAAACGGATACCGAAGTATTTCTGCGGTCCAAGAAGGTGCTACCCGCCTGGAGCGGTGGCGATCTGCCCTCCTTCGGCACAGACGCGGCTCGATTGAGCCACGCAAAAGGTCCTGTCACCTTTCGGGACTGTGTCGGTGGGGTTGCAGGTGGGATTGTAACGGTCTTCGACGAACTGCCGCCCCACGGGACTCCTGGAAGAGAGGCAGAGAAGCCCGTAAAGCGAGATGGTAGCGGAGGTGGTCTAGCAGGAGGTACGTCTCTGGACGCTTTGGTTTGTTGCGTAGGTGCTATCACAGCTGTAACCGAAGAACTTTTGGCAGATCCATTCTGCACCTCCTCCAATTCCTTTTCGTTTATAGACCCTGTAGACATCCGATGTGCCGTCAGAAGAGGTGACTTATCGACATCTTCTACCTGACCAGATTTTGCGACCACCTTGGACCCATTGGTTAGAGCGTTTCTGGCTTGTGTCTGCCCTGCCAGAGAGGACTCGGATATAAAGGCTTTGGGCGTAGAACTAGAAGAGAATGATGAGGGTATTTCGGATGATGACCTGCCAGAACCGGCTGGCTTGCCTTCGTCCATACTTGCGGAGTCAGGCGCATCTTCGAAGGTTTCCTGACACAAACACATAGATTAGGGGGGAGACAGTGGCAAGAGGTCGATCACATACTCCTTCAGGGTCTGTATTTTCTGGACTTGATGCTGCTGCTGTGTCCATCTTTTAACACATTGGAATCGAGGTAATGGGCCACCCCTCAACCGTAAAAGCAAAGATGGACCATCTGTGAAGTGCTCCGAAGATGATTGCAGAAATAGGGTGCAGTAGGTGCGAGTAGTGTTAGTGACTTGAACAACGGCGAGTATGGGTTAAACCTAATATCAACTGGCAGTGAATGAGAGTGTTTGAGCAGAAGTCTCTTAACCAATGGAAAGGTCGACCCTAACTCTTTGAGGCCCGATAAATTCCCTGTTCATGTTCCCTGTCTTAAGATCTTTTTACGTCGAAGATCGGGTACGGCTGACCATTGAGGCCAAACAGCCAATTCAAATTATCATCTCCGCAACAGGGCCATGGATTACCCCCCAAATATGCATGAGGGATTCTATGTACCTGTGTAACCTGTGACATCCATATTGGAATTACATATCCTCTGTTATTAGTCGAGTTGATTAAATGCTTATCTAAAAAATCAGATAGCTCTTTTTAGTGTTTTACTCATCATGGTATTAGTAAGAATATCTTTTCTTTCGTAAATGATTAATTTTTCAACATGGACTAACATACTCCGTAAATGGATGTAAGTCTCAAGTGTCAGATATACCCAAAAGGTTTCATTTCCACCAGGCTAGAAGCACATAACAGATTTATAGAGATGGCTGTGACTCCCCACCCGCGAAGCTGCTAAACCCTCTCGGGTGAAAGGGCCATGGCACATATTCAATAGTTAGACTCACTGAGGGGTTCATATTGCTTAAAAGCTCTAGTGCCTATTTTTAGTTATTTTTTGAAGTCATGAAAAGTATCTTGTGGTTGAAATAGCTTGCGGCAGCATAATCAGGCCAACCAAGTGTCACTTATGAATATCTGTAGAAGGACGTCCCAGCATCTTTTCTATCTTGGCCTCGCCGCTGTTCTTCTTATTAGACTTGTTGTTGCGGCAAGCTCTGATCGAGACTTTGATCGACCAGTATGCCGAAAGAGAATCCTCGAGATGCTCCAAGAAGACCCTTCAATGGCCAACGACACAGACACGTTCGCCACAGGCAACCAAGGGAGACTGCTATCTTCTCCTGACATGCTGGTCCTTAGGGTACCAGCATGCGAAAAGATATGCGGTAGCGGATGGGCAAAATATCCTGATGCAGGTCCGAGGCTGATGACATGGCTCGTACCAGTCGTTGTGCTCATCCTTAACTTGCAATACGCGACCATTGGGAAAGAAAGATTTCTCACAGTGCTGCATCTGTTTGGTGATCCAATTCACTCGACATGGTCGCTTCTGGCGAAGGTCGAGACGTGGAGACAATGCTATGGCGGCGGAACGGGTCGATCCAAGAATGAAGCGGTTATCATTGCCGCCATCCAGGAGCTTGTGGAGACCCTCAACGTCGGTCACAACGTGGAACAAACAGACCTAGTTCTGCAAGACGTACTTGTCCGCCCAGAAAAGCAGCTTGCTGACTTCCATAACCTGGTGGAGAACACAGCCAGCAAACTCGCGGACTGCAGAGTCAACCAAACCATGCGGACTTGGGCGTCAATTGCCTTGTACCTGGTCCAGGTGGTAGCCGCCCTTGTGCCTAAACTCGGACAGGCGGCAAGTCCGTCAGGCGGCAAGATCGGTATGGCGCTGCTGTTGTCTTGGCTTTTGCCCGTGGTGCTGCTGAGCAATGCAGTCGGCGACTTCACCTCCCGCAAAAGCTTCTTGAGAATCATGCTGGCTTTCATGGAGCAGATAGAAAGCCAGAGCACTCAGCCCCTCCGGAAGGAATGCCGGGATCTCCTTTCATCCCTCCGTAAGGTAGACAAAAGATACTTCAAGTCTCTGGCGTGGTCTGGGGCCATATATACCTATCGGCCTAACAAAACCCATTCGCGAAGCACTTTGAAAGGATACAGCAGCACCCTTTATATGGCCTTGATCTCTACTCTTCCCGTCATTGTGGCATTTGTGACAGCCTTCCTGGTCCTATACAAAAAGCCGACACACTTCAGCTGCCGCCATTTCTTCGTCTTGGCCGTCTTTGGCACCTGGCTCCTGAGCCCTCTAATCACGTGGATGATTGGGATCCACTTCAGCCAGCAGCGACAATGGCAGGTTGTACTCGCCAAAGACGCCGTATTTGGATTTCCCATTTTGGCGCTCATCATCGCCTCCAGCTGTGGCTTCTTCAACAGCTGCTGGTGTTGGAGTGGGGTCTTCACGCTGGGCATCCGTGAGGCCGCTGTCTACCTCACCGACCTGCCAGAGTTCGACCGTTACAACCAGGTCGATTATCCTGCGATCATTGGAACCTGCTTGGCACTGCAATTGGCCTTCTTTCTTTTGAGTCGCTGGATTTGGCGGAGAGGCTTTAATTTGCTCGCCTGGAGCGAGCAAGAGAAAGAGGCGGCATTTTTGAGAAGGACACCCAGCTCGATGGTCGTGCGTGATTTGAAGGCAATAACGTCGGCTGAATCAACTGTAGTCATGCCTGACTAGGTCAGACGGCATGTCTTCCCGCCATTCGCGCATTTTGGCACCGTGATTGTCGTGATATGACGGACTCGTCACGGAAAGCTCCAAGAAAAGGCTTGCCGGAGCTGTTTGCCATTCAGTCATCGGCTCTAGGCCGCTCGAGCTGAGTCAAGACGAACCGTTACAATGTGATATGATTGTAGCCAAATTTCTTAGCTAAAAGACAGTCTTAAGCAGTCATCTGTCAGTAGATATCTCAGCTTTTGATGAACCTATATCTTACATTATGTTCGATTGCAAATTAGTATCTTACATCTATAATATATATTTAACACGATATAATAAATATGTTTACAGAATCCTCTTACACAAATTTGATGAGACAATCCACTGCCCCGGTGGGGAGATGAAAATCTGAATTAGCCGTTTGGCCTCAAGAGTCCGCCGTAATTGAGGCCTGAAACTAAGCTTTTCCCCTGGGCCGGGCCTGCATTACCCCTGTTTCAGAAGCCGTGTTGCGCTTGTGGCTACTAATTTGCACCCCTAGAACCATTTTTCATTGGAGCAGACGTGGTTCCTGCTCCGCAAATTACCTTTTACTGTTGTGAAACATTAAGCATCAAAAGACGCATGCCTCTAGATGGCTGTATACAAGAAGCCACCTGGCACTGCTCGCTCAAAATGATGTCTCTCGTCTTGTTCGTACAAATACATTTTCATAATTAGCTCCTTATCTTCAGGAGCTTGTTCTTTATTGACACCCTAGGCGGAAATTTGAAGCTTACCATGAAAGAATTTAAACCGCGAGTACCTTCCGAGTGCTTTTTGGTAACAGAGATATGGAAACCGACTTTTGTGCTTCTGTAGCTCTTTCTCATGCTGACAATCGTCTGATGGCCCTCTTATATTTCTAGGCTTGTTCGTCTTCGAGGTATTCTACTACTAAAGAGCTTATGCCAGAGGGAAATCCCACTTTTCTGGTATCAAACCCTGTTCAGCATGATCTGAAGGTGGGTTGAGTACCTCTATATACTCATTTAAGCCTATCGATCTCTTGGTCATATCATAACATAGACCGCTACATTCTTCTCAAGGTCCTCCCCAGGTCTAGGGTGCCCATGAATCTCAATATATCCAAGACCAGGAAGTGATGAAGGGTGAAGCTTGTGATACACTCGGTCCTATACAGTCAGACAGCCAAGCATAACATCGAGACTAGTCAGCACCTTCCCGAACATGCCTTCACAGTCAGTTATTGTTAACTTTGCAATCTTCACCGCCCTCGTTATTATGGTCACAGCGGACCCCAGCAAACTTTTGAATACCAACAACAGTAAAGCTGCTTCCTCTACTGCGGTCATGCCAGCGGACGCCAGATCTGAGTATGGGGTCAACACCGCTGTGAGCATATCACCAACGCTCAAAAGCATGACGAGCCCCGGGTCAACAATCCTGGCGACGTCCACTGTCAAGCCTGATGTTAGTCTCAACAAGGCTGCTATTGAGCCTAAAGAATACACTTGTGAACGTGCAGAGCACAAGGCCGTTGAAGCACACTCTTGCAAATGTAAATCTTTTTCTGTACTCTTCCGCCATACAAGGTCTGGCGAATCTTTTGTGTGCTATATAGTGGCGGAAAAATCACAAAGGTTAACTATCGGGCAGTGGTTGGAAGACCTGGGAAATTGTCTGGTGCTGAGGTCCTAGTCATTTGATACTACAAAACACTATATCCCCAATTTCTGTCCCAGCTCGACCCAGCGACCATTTCTCAATTTGTCGAGTTTTCTCAATTCTATCAACCAAGCTTTCACTTCTTCCTGATCTTGCTTGGACATGCCGTGTTGAGTTTTGGCGATAAGTACTCTGCATTCTATCAGAGCCTGGTAGATCCATTTGCAATCAGTGACATCGTCCAGCATTTCCTTGATAAATTCTAATTCTTCGAAAATATATTCAAGCCGCTCTGCAGAGGTGAGGTGAGGCGCCAAAGTCTCCGATGCTTGATCTGGATCAAAAGCGCACAGCAAATTCTGGTGATAAAACCAGAGCGACTGGTCGTATGGATCGCAAAGAGCTTTGTGAATCAGGGCAAGCTCTGCTCAAGTCAGTCTGTGCCATTGTCCATAGGTTTATACACCCTACCTTCGTCTAGCATCTGTTTTCTTTCATCATCGTCAGCGCACTTTTCGTCCAAGATCCTCAAGATCAGTTTGGTTCGATTGTGCCATGCAGAGAAATTGGAGAGATTAGTACTGATCATCTTTTTGGTGTAATCAAGCTCGTTCGTGGCCATGCTCTTGCCATTCAGCGCTTCACTCTCAAGGCTATTGATGATCATTCTGCGATAGCCCCAGCCATGAAAATTACGGTTGTCACGACTCAGCATTTTTCCCGCAAGGCGTAGCTCTTCCTCCCAGATTGGACGAGCTTTGGCAGCAGGGAGCAGAGAGGTGGCTTGTTGTAATAACCAGATGCGATGGTTCCATATCCAGTAACATTTTGGGAATTGCATGAGAAGTGGCAGTAGAAATTGAAGATCCAGCTGAATAATGTCGAGAATCTGGCTGTCGCGGTGTTCGGCCGTCAGACGGCATTCCGAGTATTCATGCTGGATAGAATTGAATTCCTTGACATAGATACGTCTGCGATGGTTCCAAATCGTGTAGTACTCCGGGTTCGTCTTGAGTATCTCGGCAGTCTTTTGCAGGAGTTCGGGTGTAAGGTCGCCATCACGGACCTTGCACAAATGTTTCAACTTCCATCTAAACCACTCAAATGAGACGAGACAGACCTGTGCCTGGACTGCTTCTACAAGTTCCTGATACCGTTTGATCTCCTTCGCTTCTTTGGCGCGGGCATCGGCAGACTTGTCCTCCCTGGTTGCGATGCGACGAACCCCGTGCTAGTTCGACATTGTCAGCCTTGTCAAAGCATTGTTGCACAATTCCATCTGCTTTTCACCTACACTTGCCATGAGTTGGCTTGATACAAGGATGGCTTTGTGCGGCTCTACACAGTTGCTGCGCCTACAGAAGCTCAAGTCGGATCACGACGATGGAAAGAACGAAGGTGGACAGGAGAAGGGGAAGCGAAGAGCGAAAGAAAACAGTAGCCACCCACGTCGCTTCGGTCCTGGATCTATCCTTTCCCCTATCCAAATATTTAACATTTAAATACTTGTGCTGGTCGGCACTCCTTATCAACACATCTACATACAAGGCATCCAGTATGAGCTGTTGGCACCCTTGGGTGCACTGACTCGACCACAGTCAAGTGCTGTCAGTCCTATTATGGTGCATGATGTCCGAACTTCACTCTTCGCTTGATGGAATTGACGATTTCAACTCTAGACTAACTAGGATCATTTTCGATTCTGATTCCCTCACTTCGGCCAACGAACCATCAGTGACTGAACCTAAGGGAACGAAGTACGATACAGTGGGTATAGTGGTGGCCAGCATCGCATTTGTATTACTCTGCATCTTCTTCCTGGCCTTTGCTTTTAGAGGAAAGCTTCTAGGAGAAGACGACGATCCAATTCATGTCTTCAGGAATACAAGGCCAAGAAACAGAGGGCTACGGGCAAGATATCATCAACGAGGATGTGACAACAGCTCGCCACCAGCAGAACGACATCTGGCAACTGATCAACAGTCCCTCAAGAGGCAGGACACCCTCCAGAAGGTGTATCAGCTGTGTTGAACCCTCTAACAAAGCCCGCAATTGGTTCTCTTCTCCCGATCGATTCTTAGCCTCCCGAGCAGGAAGCACTGAGAGAGAGAGCGTTTTCCGTGCCAGCAAGTCACCACACAATTTGAGTCCTCGCGAGAAACATTCACGTCAGAGAGATCCCAATGCCGACCCATTCCATTTAACAAGCCCCTCGAGGTCAAGGGCCGCTATTCGGATCCGGCGCTCCTCCCCTGGTGGCAGACAACGACCTCCACATTTCACTCCCTCCTTTGTTCACGGCCACGACGCATCTCCTAGTCCGATAGACGCTAATCCGTCTCCCAACACCTCGAGACAAATAAGCGCCGGAGCCGTGTGGAATGTGGGTGGGCCAAGTATTGCACAAGGAGGACCGCGCCCCAGTGTACACGATGGCCATGGTGGATTGCTTGCTAGTGGCACGAATAGTCCAATACATATCGCCCATTTCCTCGACAGGAACGACTCTAATTGCGATGTACAGCAGCATGAAAATCGCCTCGCTTTAGCACTTGACATTGATCAAGCAAGCCGTGTCCTTAACTCGATATCTAGACCGCCGTTGTTAGAGTCTGCTATGATTGACGCTCCGCAGCGTTTGCCCTTCACCTGGAAAAACAGCTCATGGGCGCGAGAGGAGGGATGTGATCGTGAGTCTGCCTGGCGTTTATCATGGTTGGTCGCCTGCTAACCCTGGCTAGCTGGTCAGAAGAAACGCAGCAAGAGTCCCATGCGATCTATCCCAACGCTCCCCTTCAGAGTGCTTGATGCCCCACGCCTTCGTGATGACTTCTATTGTTCAACGCTCGCCTACTCCCATACGTGCCGAACACTAGCTGTAGGGTTGAGCAGCAGGGTCTATCTCTGGACCGAAGACCTAGGCGTGCGCTTCCCTCCCCTCGTCTCACATCGACCGGGCAGCCATGTGACATGTCTTTCGTTCTCCTCGGAAGAGGGCAAGAAGGCTATCCTGGCAGTTGGCCGACAGAGTGGTCTGGTATCTTTTGTAAGTCCAGCGGGGGATGGAAGATCGAGACTTCAGGTGCAAAAGTCGAGTCCAGTATCCTGTCTCGCTTTCAAACCAACCGTCAGCCTTAGACCTTCCCGCTTTCTTAGTGGTCTTATAGCTGCGTGTGAAGATTTACTGGTTGGCGACGATGTTGGCGACCTGCATTATTATTCAATTGAGTGGTTGGATGCCACGTCTCTGCCGAGCATGCCTGAAGGGCTTGGACAAATCGTCCAGCTTGCCAAAGTTGCTGCTCATTCACAACAGATTTGTGGCCTGGCTTGGTCGCCGGACGGAAGATATTTCGCGACAGGTGGCAATGACAATGGCGCTCTCTTCTTCGAGGTTGCCAAAGTCTTGCCGGACGAAGCTCCCGGCCAAGGGAGGTCACCATTGCGGACGCAACCCCGAGCACTTGATCCGTCATCGCTTCCTTTTCGACCAAATCAAGAGCCTGGGCCACATCTCCCCTCACCACCGATGAGCCCTGACAGACGGGACGTCATTGGACATATTTCTCCCTTAGGGCGTGGCTCGATCTCCCCTTCGCTGATACCCGCTCACGTCACTATCGATCCTACACCTCGAACGCCTTCAGCTCCAGTCCTCCTAACATCAACAACCAACCAAACCCAAACACCACCGGCCTCACCGACTCACCACCGTCCGCCTCCTCCTCAACCCCTAACCAACCGCCGCATAATCTCTCAACCCAGCCTAACGCAGCACTTCGCGTCCTCACCGCCACCCACCGCACGCCCGACCCCTCTAAACCCCCCGCCAGGCCTCCAAACTCACACGCTCCCGCACTCCGCCGCAGTCAAAGCGATCGCGTTCGCACCCTGGCAACCCAGCCTCCTCGCCACGGGAGGCGGCAGCAACGACCGGCAGATCCACTTCTTCCACACGGGCAGCGGCGCCACGCTGGCGCTCATCAACGTCTTCGCGCAGGTGACCAGCCTGATCTGGTCCAAGACCAAGCGCGAGCTCTGCGCGACCTTCGGCTACGCGCAGCCCGAACACGGCATCCGCATCGCCGTCTTCGCCTGGCCGAGCGGCGAATGCGTCGTCAGCATCCCCTGGGCCGCCAACACCAGTGCCAGGAACGCCGCGCAAGCGGAGGGCGCGCGCGTAAGTAAGCAGTATAAATAACTTACACGTTGTAGGCACTACACGGCTTCTTATAGCACTAAGGAGTATCCTAATAAAGAGGCTACGAATTGCTACTATTGCGCAGTTTACGCATAGCCGGGGCATTAAGCATAGTCACCCTCCTGTAAGGTAAGACAGGCTAAGAAACTGCGTCTGATTAAGAACAAACAACTAAGGACCTAACCTTATCAAAATGCCTTGCCCTTTGCAGAGCCTTAGAACGCTCTAATAAGGGCCACTAAGCGCATAAGTCCTGCTAGCGACTTAACAGACTTTAGCTATAATAATAGTATAGTAATATCCTTAACTCTGCTAATAAGGCGCCTAAGAAGCGATAGCCTTTAGCGCCTTATAGATGCTAAATCTAAGAATAGGGCCTTTACTAAGGCTAAACGCGGCTGCCTGTCTAGAAAGCTTACTACTATAGGCCCTAATAACTCCTAGGAGAATAGCCCTAACAAAGAAGTTATAATATGTTAGATACTAAAACTTTACTAATTCTACAGTATAATATGCGGAAGGAGAGGGTAGGCACTATAATCCTACTCTTTAAAGATAATTATATTCTTAACTATAATATTATAGCTACTCAGAAGCTATAGTATAACCTATAAATACATACCTTACTTAACGCTTACAGAAGAGGCTTTACTCTACTTTATAACCTAAGAAAAGACACTAACGTATACTTCTATATTAAAGATAACATAGACATTAATAGCTAGGAGGTTTACTACAAATCTCCTAATATTTT